CCTGTTCCACTGAAGGACACAGAAACATTGCTCATAACACAACTGGCAGAAAGGCCTGGAGTCCATGGGAGTGAGAGCAGGTCCTCAAAGCATCCTTAGAGGAAAGAAAAGGAGAAAAAAAAATCAATTAAAATCTTGTCAGTGACAAAATGATTTCACAACATCTCAGAACTCACAACTTGCAGAAATCTGAAATAGCACAACCTCAACAGGAGGAAAGTGGAACTCCCCTTTGCACTAACTATGGGCATTTTTTGAGACTGGTGAGTCACTTCATAGGTTCTGTTTCAACCCCAAGAGCCTGCAAAGTTCAGCACTTTTAATTTATCATGCCATGGATCTGGGACATCTGGACGTGCTTGAGCCCCCAGAGCACAGAGAGTTACAGGAGAAAAGCCAGATCTAGGGGTAGGTCTTGGACAACAAGGGGATAGAAAGCAGAGGAGAAAATAGGAGAAAATCAGAGGGTTTTTTGAAGGTGGCAGCATGATCAAGCACTATAAACGAGGCCTGTGTCAGGTTAGTGTTTGTCAAGTGTCTTTATCTTCACACATCTTGACTCTTATTTCTCAGAAAATTGCCTGGGGAGCCCCTGATCAAAGCCTGCTGCCACCACATCTTTTCTGCCCCTCAGCAGAGCTGATAACTCAGCCCAGGAAACAAAACACACTCGTTTGTGTTCAATTCCTCCTGCCTTGCAGAAATGCTCCTAGCTCTAGAAACAACCCCTAGCTGCAGCTACAAGCCTGGTGCCTCAGAGGAAATACCTCAAGAGGCTTCCTCTCCTCTCTTTCAGCCTCTGAGCCTTCATCAGAAGCTCTCCACTGGTTCAGTCTTGGCAGAAAATACTCTACTAGAACATTTTATGGTGACCCAACGTTCATACCTGATGTAGGTGAAGATCAAGAGTTAAAATTGGGTAATCTTAAGAACCTCTAGTAACTCACAAAGCCAAATCTAAGAGTGAGCCTCCTTAGCACATGTGAGAATGAAGCCCCAGCCTTTACTCACAGCTGGGAAACACATATAGAGCAAATCACATCTAAAGCTATAGCTTCATTAAATATTTTTGCTCTTTTTTAACAGCAAACACTGAGTGAGACAAGAGGTATTGTTGTCAGGAAATTCAGTATCAGTCACTAGAAATCTTGCAGCAGGCAGGAGAGGAAACCCTATGAGCTTTCTCTGAAGAGGACAGGGTTTTAGCCAGCTTGCCAGGTTCCTGCATAAACCCACATTACCTCAGAGACTCTTTTCTTTATGCAACCTTCTTACAGTTGCAACTCAGCCACAAAACCCTGAGAAAAAAACCTGAGACATGCTGAGCTTCTCAAGTTCATGCAGCAAGACACAAGAGGAGGGCCAAGAGGTGACTCTCTGCCTGATCCAGCATCCTTCAGTGGCTCCTGCCCCTGCCTTCCAAAAGTTTAGGAGTTTGAGAGCAAGGATTAGGTTCCCCCCCACACCCCCCAATTATCTCTTTTAATTCCCCATGTTCTTTTGGGCTATTTCATTCCTCTTACAAGCCCAAGAGCACCCAGGCAGTTGTTACACATCCACCTAAGGGATTTGGGAACACGATTTCAACAGGTTGAATTTTGTGTTAAGTTTACAGAACCACTTTAGAACAGAAAACAAACACATTCTGGTTACTTTACTTACATTTTGAGTCATTTTTTCCCCACATCCTGGCCTTCTGTCCTGTCCTCCTCCAGGGAAAGACTCTTCCCAGGGTGAGCTGCAGCTGATTTGTTGTGGTTTGAGGGCTGAGAGCTGAGATGGGCAGCAGTTGGTGGCAGTAGCTCTTCAACAGCTGAGAGTTATCCACGGGGTGAAGAGGAGAGCCTCAGGGCAGGAAATGTATTTTAATACACTTCTTCATCCAGATTTAAAATAAACATATAAAATGTAACTTCTTTGCCACCTCAAAAAAGCACTGAGCTGTTTTAAAAGCAGTCAGGAGGGTCTTGAGGTTAGGAAGCAGTGCTGGGAAATCCCAGAATCCCAGCATGGGGGGGTGGGAAGGGACCTCTGGAGAGCATCTTGTCCCACCCCCCTGCTCCAGCAGCTCAACCACAGCACCCAGGATCACATCCAGGAGGGTTTGGAATCTCTCCAGAGGAGATTCCACACCCTCTCTGGGCAGCCTGCTGCCCTTTTCAGCTCCCCTCTCTGCCTGTGGTTTGAGCAGGGAGAGGTGCTGCAGAGGAGCCACTGAGGTGGAAAACATCCATGGGGAGGGGCCAGATTCTGCCCTCTGCAGTGCTGCTGCAGAGTCAGAGTAATTCTGTGGGCTCCAGGAGGTTTATTTGCTCTTTTTCCTTGTTGATCAACATAAACTGCATCCTGCATCTGCTGTAAGCAGGAGAACTATCCTGTGGCTGCCTTAGGAATGTTCTCTGCTGCAGCTAGTTTAATCCTAGCAGAAATAGAATGGTGTTTTGTTTTTTTTTTTCCCTTATATTTTAAGGAAAAAGGATTTAATGAACCACAGGACTGGATATTTTGCAAAGCACATGCACAGTCAGCTCTTTTTCTTGGTTAAGGACATGCCAGTGGCATGGAAAAGACCCAAGTAATTGCCTGAGGAAGAGCATGGCCCTCAGCAAGGACAGAACAAACTTCCTTCTCTCTGGGCTTTGTTGGAAGTTTGAAGGAGGCTCCTTCCATGTTTCACCAGAGCCAAACCTGATCCCTGTTAGCTGCTCTGCATGGATTAAGTGGTTAACAGTGTTTTGAGAAGATTGTTTGTGGGAACACCATCTGTTTCCTTTAACAGATAAACAAGGAAAATTGCTGGTTGGAAATGCAGGCTTAGTTCAGCTCAGATGGCCACAGGCATGCTTGAAAGAGAAGAGGTAAAAGGAGAAAGAATCCTCATGAGGCCTGAACTTCAGTGACATTTGTTAGGAGATAAATTCCTAAGATGGGGCTGTTAGTCCTGTTTGCTTTTTTAGCCTTTTCTTTTTAAAAACTAAACTTTTCTCTTTAGCCACCTCCTTCTGAAGCCCATCTTCAAAACCAAACTGCCATCAAACATTGAAACCCATAAAAAATAGTGAGAGGGTTGAGCATCCCCTTCAGAAGCAGCAAGTTCCTTTAATAGACTTAGGGGTGAACATCCAAATCCAAAGTTACTTCTGAGAACACTGGCTTTGGGACCTTTCTTACTTCACCTGCCCAGCTCCTTTCCTCTTCCTCAGACAGAAGCAGCAGTGTGACCATGTGTCCTGGCTTCCCCTGTGAGGTCATGTCCTGGGGACATGAGAGGCAGAACAACAGCTCCACATTTTCACTTTGTCAGGTAGCATAGGTGTTCTTTAATTACTGTTACAAAACACTCACTCAAGGTCTTGTTTTGGTGGTGAGCTGCTTCTGTTCTGAAGTGAGTAGGAGCAAGCAGTCCAGAGGCACATCTAACCTGATGGGAAGTGTTGGGAGGGAAGAGGAGTGGAGGTACAACAGCAAATGTCCTTCTACTCAGTGCAGACCAGCATTTGTGGAGGATTTTGTGATGAAATCATAGAGTTCAGGTTGGAAAAGACTTTTTAAGATCAAATCCAACCCTTGACCTAACTCTGCCAAGTCCACTGCTAAGCCATGTCCCTCAGCAGCACATCTCCACAGCTTTCCAGCCCCTCCAGGGATGGTGGTTCCACCACATCCTTGGGCAGCCTGTTCCAGGCCTTGGCAACCCTTTCTGTTACTGGTTAATAAAATAAATGAGAGTCACTGGGAGAAGATAATTTGTCTTTCATGTCATCAACAAACCTTGGGTGTTGCTGGGTTTCTTAAAGTTGTCTTCTCTGGCTTTTGTAGAGCTTTTCCAGAAGCCTCAAAAGGAGCAGAAACAAAAGCTTCCAGTGCATTTTTAGTTGGAAAATAAATACCTCTTAAGTCAAGTGCACTGCTGAGCACAGCTCAGGTCTTCAGGCTGTACTCATGGCCTCCCAGCACCAGCTTGTAGCCTCTTACTTCCTTTAACCACCTCCAGAAGCACCCAGAGCAGGGCTTTGCCTCACCCAAACAAAGAACTGGCCCTGCTTGACCACTACCATCAGGTTGGGCAAGTCTGAGAAAGAGTGAAAGTATCAAGAGACCTGATCAAAAAAAAGTCCTGTGGTGCTGAGTCAAACTGGTGACCTGAAACTGGCCAGCCTGGCTTCAGTGGGGTCATTTAGGATCCTGTCACAGCACAAGAAGTGAAACCAGCAGCTTTGGAGCAGCAAAAACCTTTCATAGGGCATCTGCCTGTCTGGAGAAATGGGAAAGGACTCTAAGGATGAGCTACAAGAATAATTGTAGCTGCATGATGCTCCTGTCCACAGAGGGAGGGAGGATCTCTCTGTGGACACAGGCACAGCTGCTCTCCATGGGAGCTCCATGGTGTGATGTGTCATCTCCTTTGCCACCAGGGCTTTGTACACCAGCAAAATACCATGTTTACCTGTGACAGCAAGAGCAAGTGGTTTTACTTGTCCATGCTGAGGGACACAGGTCAGTAGTAGAACTGGATGTAGCATGGAATCATGGAATCACAGGGTAGTTTGGGTTGGGAAGGACCATTAAAAGTCATCTTGTCCAACCCTCCTGTAGTCAGCAGGGACATCTGCAGCTAGAGCAGGGGGCTCAGAGCTTGGTCCAACCTCCCCTGGGATGGTTCCAGGGATGGGGCAGTGACCACCTCTCTGGGCCACCTGGGCCCGGGGCTCACCACACTCTCTGTAAACAATTTCATCCTTAGCTCTAGTCTACATCTCCCCTCTTTCAGTTTAAAGCCATCAGCCCTTGTCCTGTGGCAAGCAGCCACATCAGAGCTGCTCTGGCAGGAGAAGATGGTGCCTGTGTAGCTACCAACAGTCCTTTTGTGCTGCTCAGCTGCCTGGACTGTCTGGAGACTTGTTTGACTACCAGCTTGTTTCTACCCTGTGCAGGTACAGGGGAAAAGATGCCAAGCTCCTCAGAGACTGACTTTCCCTCTTTTTCCTTTTATCCCACAGGTGATAACTCCAGTCAGGTCAGGACAAGGTTATGTGTATGAATTCCCTGCCAAATTCCAGAAGGATGCCTACGACATCCCCCCTGCCCGCCCTCTCCAAGGGGTAGGTACCCAGCAAACTGCCAACAGCACTGATGGGCCACAAAAGGGGATGGATTCCCACCACATGTTCATGAGCAAAGCAAGTTCTCCCCTTTTCACAGAGCAAAGATGTTTTCAGTAGAGGCTGTGGCTTATTCACAGAGCCCAGAAGTGTTTCAAAGTCCTATTTGATGTCGACTTGAGATTTGGCAGCACCCCAAATGCAAAAGTCCCATTTGTTTTCTGTGTTTTGATCAAAGAGGACGTGGAAACAGCATAAATTTGCTGCCTGGGAACAGTTCTTTTTCCCTGGCTTTGTTGTGACATAGCTGACAGTAATTCACTCAGCAAGGGTGAAATTACTGCTCAGCTGAACGGCTGCTGTGCAGGGAGTTGTTCTCACCACATAGCTCCTGCACCACGTCCCTGAGCTTGAAACACATCTTTCTTCTGGGGAACACCCTGAGGTTTGGCTCCCTCAGACCACAGGCAGCTAAAGTGGACACTTGCAGGACCTCAGCAACCCTGCATCTCTCCAGGGCTCTCCAACAGAGCAGCTCCTCTGGGTAACAACACTGCAAGCCAGCAGTACCCAGCACAGGCTGGCACTGAGTGGCTGGAGCTTGGGGATTCTGAGTGAAGGGACGTTCAGACAGTGGCCTCAGGTCACACACAGAACCCACTCTGATGGAGGACAGGCCACCCAGGGAAGCAGACAGGTGATGCTGACAGGGCAGCTCAGTGTCAGAGCTTCCTGTCTGTCAGGACCAACTTCTCCCTCAGCCCCTCTGAGCTCTGGCAGCACCCCTGTGATCACATGGACATCCTGCTCCCCTGTCCACCCCAACAGCTATCTGCAGCAGCCTGGCTTTGCTTGGGCTCTGGAGCTGGAAGTCAGCCCTGATTTCATCTCTCCAGCCTGCCCCACACCCAGGGCAGACCTAGCAAAGTCCATTCCCTCCTGGCTGTCCAAAAGACCAAGCAGCTCCCCCATATGAAACAGAGCTGAGGAGCTCAAATCATCTTCATTTGATGATGAGACCATGTGAGAGGAAACACAGAAACCAAGAAAACTCATCTGAGGTCAGAGCTTTCCTGAGGTGACTTGTTTCTGTAACCAATTTATTCTTTCTTTAGATCTATGACATTCCCCCCACATCAGTTAAGGGGCCTGCACTTCCAGTTCCTGTGGGAGAAGGAAAAGCTGTAGGGGTCTATGACATCCCACCTGCCAAAGGGGTAAGTATTGCACTGTTCCCACAAGATCCTTCATGGCTTGCTGAAGATGTGTTTGAACAAGAGGTCATGTAGGATCCTGAAGGAAAAAGGGGATTCAGTATTTTTAATGATTTCCTTCAACTGTTAAAACTAGTAAAGTGAAGCCCTGCCTCAAAAGGATGAAGATGATGGAGCGTGAGGGGATAATTGGACCTCCATCATCTCTGTGGCAGCACCTTGCCCTCTGGGGTGTTGCTGCTTAGGAGAATTTGCCTCTCAAGATGTATGTTAAAAAATGAGAGATGAAAACTGACGCTCGGTCAACCTCAGGAGAAGTACCTGGCTCCATGAAAGCCCGTGGCAGATCTTCCATAGGCCTGGGGGTCTTGAAGGCCAGGCTGGAGGAGGCTCTGGGCAGCCTGATCTAGTGGGAGGTGTCCCTGCTCATGGCAGAGGGGTTGGAACTGGGGGATCCTTGTGGTCCCTTCCAACCCTGACAGATTGTGATCTGTTTTAGCAGAGGACTTTAGAGCCCTAATGGCTCAATGGTTGGACTTGATGATCTTGGAGGTCCCTTCCAACCTAAAGGATTCTATGATTCTAAGATGTAAAATAATTTACTGTGGTAGCCAGAGGTTTCATGGTTTGCTCTTTGTGATTCAGGTCTATGCTACACCTCCGACCGCGTGCCGGGATGACACAGCCCTGAGGGAAAACCTGCAGGAGTTTCCATCTCCTGTGGGCCACGGGGTAAGAGCAGAAGGAGTTTATGATATTCCTCCCCCCATCACCAAAGCCACTGGCAAAGAACTTCACAGATTTTCTCCTGAGGGCCTTTTGATGTCAGATGGAGTGCCACAGAAGCAGAGCGTTTATGACATCCCCATGAACCACCAAAACCATTTCCTTGGGCAGCAGATGGCACCTCAAAAAGATGTTTATGACACCCCGAGGGGAACTGCATTCCTGGGACAACAGGCAGGACTGGGTGAAAGCCCAGAAGGAAGAGAAGGTGTCTACGATGTGCCACCACCAGTCCTCCAAGACACTAAAGGCCTGCAGGATGTCACGGATGGCATGAACAGGTTGTCCTTCTCCAGCACGGGAAGCACGAGGAGCAACATGTCCACATCTTCGACGACATCAAAAGACTCTTCCCTCTCAGCACCAGCAGGCCAGGACAAAAGGCTCTTCCTCGACCCAGACACTGCCATCGAGAGGCTGTATGGCCTCCAGCAGCTGGTGGAGACAGCTGTCCATCACCTCCTGGCCTTCGTGACGGCCGACTGGCGCTCCTACGGCTACATGGAGAAGCACCTCAACGAAGTCCACTCGGCGGTGGACAAGGTGGAGCAGTCCCTGCTGGAGTACCTCCAGTTTGCCAAAGGCTCGGCCGCCAACGCCTCCTGCCTCTCCGAGTTCGGCCTCCTCAACAAAATGAGGAGGGAGGTGCAGAGGTTGGAGGACTCTCACCAGATCCTTACCCAAACCAGGCAGGACTTGAACAGCTACAGCTGGTCCTTGAACGTCCTGGCTGTCAACAGGCTGCAGAACAAGAGTGATGACCTGGATCGCTTCGTGATGGTGGCGAGGACGGTCCCAGATGATGCCAAGCAACTGACCACGACCATCAGCGTCAACGCAGAGCTGCTCTTCAGACAGGCCTTGGGCAGCTCACGTTCCAGGAGCCTCCCAGAGAACCTCATCCACCCTCCTGACTACGTCTACGACAACGCCCACGTGCAACGGCACGGGGAGAAAGCCCAGAGCCACTGCAGCCCCCTGCCCCCACTCCTCAGCCAAGCTCAGCACCCTCACGACACCACCGGCCAGAGCTCGGAGAAGAGCTGGATGGATGACTATGATTATGTCCACCTGCAGGTAGGTGAACCCAACACCTCCTTCTGCACCAGGGCAGGAGCAGGTTGGACGTCCAGAAAAACGTCTTCTCCAGAAGGGTTGTCCAGCCCTACAGCATGTGGCCCAGGGCAGGGGTGGAGTCTCCATCCCTGGAGGGGTTTCCAAGCTGTGGAGATGTGGTGTGAGGGACATGGTTAGTGGGGACCTGGAGGTGCTGGGTTGATGGTTGGACCTGATGATCTTAAAGGTCTCTTCCAACCCAGACAATGCTATGATTGTGAGAGCTGTCTGTGGGTTCTGGAGTTTGTCACACTAACAGGTACTCCAGAACAACTTCAGCAAGGAGATTTCTTCCTCTCTGATGGAACTTGGCACACATAACAGCCACAGCCCTTTGCTCTGCCACCCTGTCCTTTTCTTCTCCATCCTCTTAGAGGTCTTTCACCTGTGGAAAACCCCTTAGAAAGAAGCCTGTTAGTTGACCTATGAGTTGTTGTGTATCTCAGGAGCAGTTTTGATTTGACCCAGTGTCTCACTTTACACAAAACAGGGGAAAGAAGAGTTTGAAAGGCAACAGAAGGAGCTGCTGGAAAAAGAAAATATCATGAAACAGAACAAAATGGAGCTGGAGCACCATCAGGTAGGTTCCCACACACCAAAACACAGCGTTCCTTGCACGTCACGAGGGTGGTGTTGCCCTATCACCCAGCAGAACGTGGCAGAAGCAGCGTGGAGGTGAGAGTGAAGGGTTTGTCAGCTCAAAACCCCAGAGGGGTGGCAGCTTTTTCAAGAGCACGTAGGAGTCGCTGCCACTTGGAGCCATCTTCTCTGGCTGGTGACTGCAGAACATCCCAAAGGAGCAGCAGGCTGGAAATCTGCCACTTGGAGCCATCTCCTCTGGCGGGTGACTGCAGAACATCCCAAAGGAGCAGCAGCCTGGAAATTCAGGGGGCGTGGGGGGGGTTTTTACAGGCAGATGAGCAGCAGGCTGGAAATTCAAGGGGTGTGGGGTGGGTTTTTACAGGCAGATGAGCAGCAGGCTGGAAATTCAGGGGGCGTGAGGTGAGTTTTCACATTCAGATGAAGCATTTTAGATGTTTTTCATCTTCTGACTACTGCGAATTTGAATTTATGGTCACCAAAGGGCTTGAAGCTGAAAGGAGAAGATCTCAGACAATGAATACACTGCTTTTTATTTGGTATAAAGTCAGTCTGGGATACCTGGGCTGCCCTCAGGCAGGGAGGGTGGGATTGTAACACATAGCAACGAGCCCACCCTTTAAGGCAGCCTCTTCCCTTTCCCTTCCAGATCCATCAGTTCCAACGGCTGGAGCAAGAGATCACCAAGCCCGTGGAGAACGACATCTCCAAATGGAAAACCCCTCGAGCTCTGCAGCCCTCCAACAGCACAACCCCTTCTCGGGACAGCCAGCTTCTCCTCTTTTACTCCGACCAGTGCCAGACCCACTTCAACTCCCTCCTCAACGCCATCGACGCCTTCTTCGGCTGCGTGGACGCCGCCCAGCCCCCCAGGATCTTCGTGGCCCACAGCAAGTTTGTCATCCTGAGCGCCCACAAGCTCGTCTTCATCGGGGACATGCTCAGCAGGCAGGTGAGCAGCCAGGAGCTCCGTAACAAGGTGAGGAACTCCAGCAACCAGCTGTGTGAACTGCTGAAGAGCGTGGTGCTGGCCACCAAAGAGGCCGCCCTGCGCTACCCCAGCACCGTGGCCCTGCAGAAGATGGTGGATCGGGTCACCGAGCTGTCCCACCACGCCCAGTTCTTCAACCTCTCCTTGGTCCAGATGGCTTCCTCCTGAAAGCTGGGGTGGGATCCGACGTTGGGAAAGCAAAGGGACTTGGAGGTGGTTTTTTTTTATGGAACTGTTGTCTTCTGGGTTGGGTTGTTTTCTTTTTTAGACCTTTTTTAACGAAATATTGTAAAAATATTCTTCTGCCTTAGAGGAGCTCATGAAATCAGGGATCTGGGAAGACATCTGGGTCTGTATTAGGTTCTAATACACCTTTTAGGTTTGTACACACTGCCTATATGTATATGTTGCTGCATCCCCCCCCCCCTCCCCCCAAAAAAACCATGGATTAAGCACCTTAAAAACGCCGTGGTGGGTCCAGCAGTGCCTGTCTCCTGGACGTGCTGCCCCCTCCTCTTGGTGTGTTTGTTAACCTGGATGCTGCACTCCTCTTAGGTCATTCCACCTTCTTCTTGGCACATGGACTCGGCTGCAAAACCTCCTTGTGGCCACCCGTGAAGCGAGTGTGATGGTTCTCATAGAACTCCATTCTCTTTGTAGAAATGACTTTCTAGAGCTTATTCCAGGAACTTGGAACTCTCCTCTTGATGTTCCCCTGCTAGGTACAGCACCTGATCCTCCTGCCCTACGTGCACCATGGCAACGACCTAAAAAAAAAGGCTAAAAAATGCATTTTTAGGCTGTAGAAGAAACAGAACCTTCTAAGGAGGGAGGTTTTGGTGCAGATCTCACCCCCCACAGCATTCAGGTTTTGCTTTTCCTTATCAGCGTGTGATTTCCAAACGTGGATGGATTCCCAGCAGTGTAAATTCCTCTGTGTCCACCTCGTGTGCCCTTGCATTGGCAGTTCAATGTCAAGAGTCAGGCCCAAAAGCTGTTGGTCATGGACTGGGAGTTCTCCTGGGAGCACCCTGGGATCTGCTGGGCTCATCTCTGAGGCTGCACATCAGCACTGGCTCCAAATTTCAGTCCCTTCCAGAGGGATGAACACACAGATGATAATCCATATGGAAAGACAAAAGTTCCATTTGCAAGGACTGATCTTTAGGTAGACAATTTAATGAACAAACAGCACTTATTTTCCTAGGACCTCTTTTTTGGGAGTTAACTGCACCTATTGCAATTCTGACTTAGATTCAACCATGGGGCTTTTATTTTTTGGTTTCTTTTCCAAATTCTGTTGAGTAGGTGCTGGTCCTTCTGCACTACACTACTGCCCAAAATGACCTCCTGTTTTAATGGGGCCATTCCACCACAGTCCCACCCAACAGTGTTCCACTTAGACCTCCCAACTGCTAGCAGAGGGGTGACACTCCTTGAGAACTTCCACGTGTGCTCCAAAACACACCCGAGCTTCTCTGGCCTCATCACCTTTCATGAACACCCTAAAAAAACAAGTCCCAGCACACCACTGGCCTGCTGGCCTCAGACTAAAACCCCTGCTTGGAAGTCAGCTCAGGTAAATTCCAGAAGATTCTGGCATTTTTTTTTACAGGAGAAACACTACTGGCCTTGAATGGTCCCACATGGGAGTGCTGTGAGCAGTGGCACCAGCGAGCAGGTCACGGTGGTGTGAGGTTGGTAGCACCTGGAACATGGACACCCCTCCTGAACTTTTAGTCTTCCCAGCTCTTAGCCAAACTCGTGCCTTACTGAAATGGGATTTGTCTTGGATAAATGTCTTGGATAACTCCACCCTTTCAGCAGCATGTGAAACCTTTCAGCCTTCACTCAATGTCTGGGAGCAAAGACCTCTCGTAGCCACCTCAACATTGCCTCCAGGGGCTGCAGAAGTTTCTAGAAGGGCAGTTGGGCCTAGTGTTGCCTCCAGGTCTGGCCCAACACCAGAAAAATGGGGCAGCTTTGCCCCTGTAACCAGTACCCAAAAACCAATCCACCTGAACTGCTCTCATCCCAGTGCTCTTTGGGATTTCCTCGTCCCTTTGGGTGGGGTTTTTTGCCCACTGTTATGTCTTTAGAAAGTGAAGATGCCTTTTGAAGATCAGTGGTTGTGTGGGTTGTACTTTTGGAAGGACAATCTTTCTTGCAAGCCTGTATCACACTTTATTACCGTGTAGAGTCATTTGAATTGAGCTTTTTTTTTTTATATAAAACCTTGGTCTGGGTGTTTTCTTGTCTTCAGAGTCCTCTAAGTGTGTTCTAAAAGAAATTGCTGCTTGCTGATACTCCAGAAGCCATTCTCAAAGGAGGGGTTCCTCTCCAAAGAGGAGAGTTGGGGGAAGGGGGAAGAAAAAAGGCTAAAAAAAAGACCCTCCTCTGACTTTTGATTGTCTTGCAGAAAGGAATCCAAGTAGACCTGAAAACTTCTGGGGCAGGTAGAAGGCTCTTGGGGCATTTCCCCTGCAGGGACTCAAGTCTGGCTTTATTCCTGAGAAAAAAAAGCCCCAGTGGGGAGTGGCCATCAGCACAAAAAGGGAAAATGAAAAGGAGTTTTACTGTTCTGGTGGGTTTTAAGGTAGGAGCAGCTCACCCAACAGCCTTTCATCTCAGGAGGGGATCTGAGCTGGGAAGAGGCACCTGGAATGAACTCCCAGAGAGGGAGAAGTTAACCTGCTTGGCTCTCCTTGGGACACCTCCTTCCCCAGGCAGCACCCACAGGGGGAGGTGGATGTGGGCTCCACCATTTCCACCCTGCAGCTGCTGGAGCTGCCTCTGCACACCCAGAAGGTGGAACCCCACCAGTCCCTCTCCCCACAGAGCCACCACCTCCATCCGAGGAGTTAAGCTGCTGAAGACACTGAGATAAAGAAGAAAGTCTCTTTCTTGCCCCCTTCTTTCCTCCCCACAGGGATGGTGACGCCCAGAAGTGCCCCAGTTTGGATTAGCCCATCTCTGCTCCCAGTGGAGACACCCCAGATGCAGGTCACCTTGCCTACCTGAAGACACCTGCATGTGACACATCATCAGGGTCCCCCTTAAACTGAAGGGAGACCTAGACATAGGATTCAATCATCTGCTTTAGGGTGAGATGAACCTTCTCTTTAGGTCTCCTTAGGTCTTCAAGGGCAGCTGAGATGAGTTGCTTGGCTGCAAGTGACCATGTCATAGACTTCTGGGTTTTAAGGAGGATGAATCCAACTCACAGACCCCACACCCACCTCCTGAAACCTGCTGTAAGTCACAGCTTGAACACTAAAACACTTAGAAACTCATGGTCTCCATCCAGTCTGAAGCTGGTGTTGGTACCATCGAAGTGTCCTGAGGTTTCAGTTGGGGATTAGGAAGAATTTAGGAAGAATTAGGAGGAATTTCTTTCCTGGCAGAGTGGTGAGGCATTGGGCCAGGGAGGTGGTGGAGTCACCATCCCTGGAGAGGTTCAAAACCCATGTGGATGTGGATGAGTCCTCACTTCCACAGGGGTGGCACCTTCTGGGGTTCCTCTCCACAACGTTGAGGAACGAGCCCTCCAAGAGCTTATTCTCAATGCTCTATCTAGTGGCACAAGCAGAGCCTGGTCTCAGCAATGAGACTCCTCCAATGAGCTGGCACTGCACTCATTAGATGTCAACCACACGTGGAAGCTCCAAGATACTCCCAACCTGCTCCTGTAGCACAAACCAACAGTTCTGGAGGAGGGAAAAGCACCTGCCTGGAGCCCAGCGTGAGGTCCCAGCCCAGGCCCCTGCAGGGGAACCTGCCCCAGGCTGTGCTAGCTCGGTGGGAGGTCCCACAACTCATGGATTTCACACTGAGCCATCACATCTCCTCAGCTCCTGATCAGGGGCTTGGCTGCAGATCATCTTTCTGCTCAGAGTCCCACAAACGTGCTGTGGCATCAATTCCACAGCAAACCAACATCTCTGGGGTTATCCATCAACCCACTCCACAAGGCATCACTTCAGCTGGAAGTGCCACCCTCTGCCTCCAGGCAAGCCACCAGAGAAGGAACTCTCAGCCCCGTGAGCATCGCCCACTCAGCTTCTCATCCTTCAAAAAAAAAACCCCAAACAATCAAGTCAAACCCCCAAATATGGTGTTTTCTACCTGAATCCATGGCTTCCTGGGAGGCAAGGCCACGACAAGCAGGATCGAGAGCACTGCAGCAGCTCCCACGTCCCACTCCTCAGCAAGGTTTGTCCCCCACAGACACCGAGCCTGGGGCACAGAGGAGCCACAGCTGTGGTGGCCCCATCACCACCTGAGATCCATCAGTTCCTAAAGCTCATCCCAGGCCCTGTGGTTAGGCTGAGGAAAGGCCCAAATCAAACCCAACCAGTTCCTGAAGCTGCTCTTCACCACGTTATGGAACGTGGGGAACCCTGAGAGCTGAAGAAGTGCAGCTGTGGTGGGTTTGGGGTGGCTGGCAGAGCGTTGCCCCTCCACACAGGACTCCACGTGTCCCACAGCTTTTTTGGCACCCAGCAGATGGCCAAAGGTTGAACCAGGCTCAGGCCCTGCAGGGAGCTGCCCTTGTGCTGAACACCAGCAGAATTACTGACAGCAGGGGAGCGTTTCCAAGGCCCTGCTGGACGCTGAGTGGTTCTCCTGCCGGGTGGACCTCTCCCCGCAAAGCTTGAAGGGCTTTGCCATCTAGTGGTGAAAACCCAAAGCTCCCCTCGCTCCCCAACAAGGATTCTGAAAGCCTCTGGGCTTGCAGGCTGGACCTGCGGGCAGCTCTTGCTGCTCCAGCAGCCAGCCCAGGGATCAGCCCTTCGGGAGAGACACGAAAACATCCTGGACGTGGGGACAAGGAAAAGTAACTCAAGGAAAAGTAGCTCAAGTGGGGGGGGGGAATCCTTGGGGGGGGGTGAGAACTTGGGCTGCAATAAACGCCACTGAAGGTACTTCAGTGTTTGTCACAATTCCATAAAGCTTGGGATAAAATAAAGAACCACAGACTGGTAGGGGTTGGAAGGGAGCTCTGGAGAACATCTTGTCCCACCCCCTGCTCCAGCAGGTCGCCCAGGGTCACATCCAGGTGGGTTTGGGAGAGCAGGAGGCTCCACAGCCTCTCTGGGCAGCTGCTCCAAGCTCAGACACCCTCACACCAAAGAAGTTTCTCCTCCTGGTCAGGTGGAACCTCCTGGGTTCCAGTTTGTGCCCATTGCCCCTTGTCCTGTCGCTGGGCACCACTGACATGAGTCTGGCCCCAGCCTCTTGCCCCCACCCTTGACAATCATTGATCAGATCCCCTCTGAGTGGTCTCTTCTCCAGGCTGAACAGCCCCAGGGCTCTCAGACTTCCCTTCTCACAGAGATGCTCCAGGTCCCTCAGCACCTCTGTAGCCTCCCCTGGACTCTCTCCAGTAGTTCCTTCTCTCTTTAGAGCTGGGGAGCCCAGAACTGGACACAAGACTCCAGAGGTGGCCTCACTAGAGGCCGAGGTAGAACCCCCCTCAGCCTGCTGGCTACACTTATCACCCCCCAGGAGACCACTGGCCTCTTGGCCATGAGTGCCCATTGCTGGCTCATGGGGACTTGTCCACCAGCACCCCCAGCTCCTTCTCCAGCAGGTCATCTCACCTGTCCTGTCCATGGGGCTGCTTCTCCCCAGGTGGAGCACCCTGCACTTGTCCTTGGTGAACTTCACAAGCTCCCCAGCCTGTCCAGTCTCACAGAATGGCAGCTCTGGGGCATCAGTGACCCCCAAGTGACCACGCTGTGGCCCCATCCCACCCCCTGGGCACGGGGGTCTCTGCTGCCCAAGCACTTGTACGGCCCATCTCCCAGGGTGGAGGCTGGAGAGCCCTGACTAGAAATGGAGGAGAACCACCCCAAGGCCCATGCCATCAGTGAAACCCAGGGGGTTGGGCTCAGTTTGAGTCCTGCTGATGAGGTCTCCAGCCTTTCAGAGACTCCTCCCCATTTCCATAGCTGTAACTCCTCCCAAGGGCACCACACCCCAAAACCTCTCAGACATCACCCTCTGGATCAGCACTGAAGCAGAAAAGCAAGTGTGTGAGATTGAATTTTGGAGGTTTTCCTCCAAAATCCCCTCTTAAACTCTTCTTATTTAATGGAAGAACCCAGGATTCAATTTATGCATCTTATTTAACAGAAGCAATAAAGGCTGAAGCATGTTCTCATACCCTTCTCCTCTACACCTTCATGGTCTCATACCCTCCTCTACACCTCCATGGTCTCATACCCTTCTCCTCTACACCTTCATGGTCTCATACCCTTCTCCTCTACACCTCCATGGTCTCATACCCTTCTCCTCTACACCTTCATGGTCTCACACCCCTTCTCTACACCTTCATGTTCTTATACCCTTCTCCTCTACACCTTCATGATCTCACACCCCTTCTCTACACCTTCATTTCCACAAGAACTTCCCACTTTGCCAACTTCCTTTATAAAAACTAGTCCACAACCCACCTTAAAAGTATCAAGAAGAAGGGAGGGAGGAGGTGGTTTGATTTTTCTCAGGTTTGTTGTTTGTTTGGGGTCTTCTTCTCATTGCCAAAACAAAGTGACCACCCTGCAGGACAAGGCTGAAGAACCACCTTTAATAACTGCTCTGAAGGACATACACGAACCTGCCCTCTCAAATGAAGTCATCTGTGGGGGTTCCACCAGCCAGGAGGTGGCTTCTGACAAGTCTTTTGTAGAGCTGCCCACCCAGAGATGTTCTACCAGAAAAAAAGACAGAAAAACCACTTGGGTGAGATCCTCACATCCAGTCAGGTTACTTTATTTTTCATCTGTGCAGTCAGTGAGAAGAACAGTTAATGATGACAACAAGACAACCACAGAAGCTTTAGGTGCAGTGTTGTAACTGGAGCAGCAGATGACCCCACTGATGATGTTCTCCACGCTGACCCACTTGGGTGTCAGCAAAGTCCTTCAGTTTTACCAATGGCTTGTGTGGTTCTTCCACCTGCCCAAGCTCTTTGTTCCACCTTTCGTGGTGGGAACCACCAAGTGTCAGCTACAACACAGGTAAATTTACAGCTCCCAAGTTCCACAGCCCCTGCCACGATGGTGGAGGAGCTACCCTGACAAGAAACCCCCCCAAAATACATTCAAGAGAATGGCTGCAACGATAAGGCAACAAACAGTGTGAAAAATACTGAAGAAGAGGAGCCCCGAGGTGTAACCCGGTGCCCTCCCATGGTTCTGAGAGAGTCAGTTCAGCAACACTTCAGCAGTGGGTCAGTACAACCATTGGGGTGTGTTGGACTGCCAGCAATCCCAACCCAGGTCTCCTCACGGGGACCTGCTCCCACCTACAGCTCTGCAGGACCTGCCCTGTCCAAAGATTCTGCTGCAAACTCCCTCAGGGAAAAATCTGACAGTGTTCCAAAGTTCTTGCAAAGCCTGCAGGACAAACCTTTGGCCTGCTGCTAGTGAAGCCACTGGAGTCACAGCCTAGGCTGACAGTGTCATTGGCAGCTATGTTACAGCAATGTTAAAAAAAAATAGCATCAGCTGCTTTAAAAAAATAACAAAAAGGACTGAAAATGGCTTTGGGGAGTGACAGGTTCACCTAGGACAGAGAGGGAGGGAGGAGGAAGTTGTTTGGCTAGAGCAGGTGAGCTACCCAGAGGTTCTACATCCAGCTTGTGGTGTGTTTGATCCGTGTCAGCGTTCAAACCCACAGGGATTTTTTCCTTCTCTTGCTCCACTCCTGATCCTTGCCCCTCTAGAGGCACTCTGATGAGCTAACACGTGTGCTGCTGCTTCCTCACAGCTCTGAGGAGCAGAGGCTGGGTTAACTGCTGCTCAGCCTGGGACACGACTCCTGTCAGGGCAAGGTGGAGCGTGGTGGAGTGTCAGTACAAAAAAAAAACCAACCCAGAAATCTTCATTTGTAAGCCTCTAACAGCAAAGCTCCAGGTGCTGAGGATGTTTCTGGAGAAAGCTACAGCAGGACCTGTTCCTGATTTTTTTTCTACAGGGAGCAATGATCCAAATCCCACCCAGGCACCTTCCCTGCTCCAACACAAGCTGGACTCCAAAGGTTGAGGGAAATCCAAGCCTTGAGAGAAGACTTCTGTGGCTTGTGGCAGGAGTTGTTGGGAGTCCTCTCTCACACACACATCCAGGGTGGTTCCTTCATGCTCCTCCTCTTCCCAAAGATCCCACGTGTCCATCTTCAGAGCTGCAGGAGAAACCTCAGTGGAGCTCTTCCTTCTGATGTGCAACACCAAAACAGCCAATAACTCATTCTCCAAGGAAAAAGGGAGCAACTGTGGATTTGGGGCAAAAACCAGAAGTCCTCCAGCAAAGAGGAGGTACCAAATTCATTGCCACAACACTGTCCAAGTGTTCCAGCCGTGTCTGTCACACTGGTCACAAAGCCCTAAGTGGTGCCAGGTCAGAAGTGACATCAGGTACCACAGACCTGACCTAAAGGTGTGGGAAGTCAGCTAGGGAGGTGCTTAAGTGTCCAAAACCCAAAGGTGACACACCTCAGAGTACTGAGCACACAACCTGGGCACCTTCCCCTCTCCAACACCAGTTGGGCTTCAAGGGTTCAGGAAAAACTCAGGAAACTGTTTAACCTGGAACCCTTCTTAGGCCCAAACCAAAAAAACAGGTCTTACCACCAGATTCCTTTTTGTGTTTTTTAAAGGAGAGAATAAATCCAAATTTGGAGGAGATCTCCAAATCATGTGCATCTAACATTGATTTTTTTGTTTTTTTATTTCATTTATACTATTTCTATCCCTAAGAAGGTGACTAAAATCTCACTTTAGAATACTTTCTAAAGCAGGATGTTCTTCAACCATTCTTCAAGTTCATGTGCACTCCCAAGGTTGAAGGAAAAAACCCAGATTCAGCTCTAGCTAAGGAAATAAACCTCAGTTTCACTCTATGTAGTTACAGTGCTGTAAAGAGAAAATAATTTAGGAACCATTTCAGGTCTGAAACATTTCCTGTGTTCAGACAAATGCAAAGGCTGAGCCTGAGGTCCTGTCTTTCAGCAGAGACAGGAGCTGCAGCAGCTCGAGTGCTTTTCTCCTGAAGATTTCTCTCCACCTCTCCTTTCTTCCAGCCTGACTTGCTGAAGCCCCCCCTGAACCATTGCTGAAGTCACAAAGATGGGGAGTTCAGAAGAGAAGGTGCCAGCAGTGCCCCTGAAGTCAGTTTGGCAGGAGGAGGAAGCCCCTGAAGGCCAGTGCAGAGGTGCTCAGCCACCCGTGGCTGCTCAGGAGTTGAAGGGAGTCCCTCCTAAGTTGTGTCCTCTGGAGGGGCCCTTCGCTGGCGGGCAGATTTCTGCCTGCCTCTCTGAGGGGAGGGGGGAGTCTCCTGCTCAGCTTCAGTCTCTGCAGGCTCGTTGTCTCCCTGCTGGGACCCCGTGTCCCCTATCAGTTCTCTCAGGAACTTGAATTTGGACAAAAACAACTGCCAGACCACGTACCAGCCTGTGGGAGGAAGGAAAAAGAGGTGCCACTTAGTTATCTCAGACACACTGTCAGCTCTCAGGCAAAGTGCCCCACAAAATGCAGAAAAAATGGGATCAGCTCCCACCCTCTACCTTGATGATCTTGAGATTAAGACCAGGTTATAACAAACCTCCTTCAAAATGCACAAGGTCTTCCTTACAGACACTAGAAGAGCCCATCTCCCAAATTCAGGGGTTTCCCTCACCAAGCCCAAAGCCCTTCCAAGTGAAAATCACATTTTCTGGTAAATTTTAATGTTCTGCTCCACTGCTAAAATGCTCTGGGTCCCAAAACTATGCAAGTAAAAAGCTGAGATGGTTGTACTTCTAGAATCTCTCTTGAAAAATATTTAAGATCCAGCTCCTCCTCTCTCTTGAAGTTCTTCTCTACCAAGGAACTGAAAAAAGCAGATATAAATATGTTAAACCTAACCCAAAATCTTCCTTTTAAAGCCCACGCTTGCCTAAGTGTGTAGGTGCCAAGTGGCTGGAGCTTTAGCCAGCTGAGGACTGGTGAGATCCCCTCCCCTCCAGCTAACCAGGCAGGTTTCACCTCCCACAGAACAGCACCCAGCTCCTCTGAAACTCTCAGCCCAGCAGTGTAAGATTTCACCAGCTCTTTGAAACCACCCCCCCAGAAGTGCCATCTGCAGCACCAAACCCTGGAGCTCCACACCAGTGCTCCCAGTCCCTGCCCCAGCTACTCAACCCTATACTGGTTGAGGAAACTCCTCCCAGTCAGAGCTCTCAGCACAAAAAGGGCCAAACAAAGACCAAGAGGTAGCATTGTGCACCACAGCACTGCTGGTTTTCTTCCTCTTCTGGTGCCAAAAAGAGCAGCCCACTGCTTAGGACAACACAAGCCCCACCCTTCCCCTCCCTCCTGGGACACTCTTCACATCCTGCTGAGTTTTAACCCCCCTAACTCCTCTGGAGGAAAGCTTCTCTACAGCCTTTTGTGATCTAAATTAACCCCTACAGCCTGCACCAAGCACTCCCTTCTCCTTTGACACCTAAACCTTGACATGACCACTGATTAAACTGAATCTGATGTCCCACAAATACATTCAATCCCCCTAAACCCAGAAAAAAAACTCAGTGGTAGATGTCTGGATTCAGCATCTCTTCTTCTTTCAGATCTAGAAGTGAAAATGGAAGTGGCAACTTTGTGAAAGTTCCCCTCAGAGGAGTATTTCAAGGCTCAAATGCTTTGTGCATCCTCAAGGCCAGAAATCAATCTGTTCTTCTGCTTGAGCATCATTAGAAATAATTAAATTCCCCAAAGCCACGCTCTTGTCTAGTCCACATGGGAGAGAAAATGCATTAAAATATTCCAAGTGAAAGTAGGACACTTGCAGTGTGACCCAGGCAGAACATCACGAGGCCTTTTAAAATGTCTCCAGCTCCCCAGTTTGTTGACAGAGAGAAGATTTGAGACCCCAGACCTCCAATTCCAAAGTGTGTGGGGCCTTCTACTAAATCATCTTAAGCCTGGAGGGGGGGGAACTCTCAGCCCCAAATTTTTTGTTGTTTCAAAGCCACCTGCAAGGTGGATTACTGTGAAAATTTCTTCCAGAGAACAGGATGGAGGAGGGAGGAAGAGACAAAGATATTCAGGAAAAAAATGATCCAAGTACAAAGTTACTCCTGCTCAGAAGTTACTGGGGCAGAATTTAGGGCTCAAATGTTTTCCCTTCTGCAAGGAGCCCAGGGAGAATCCAGAGAAAGTGGGAATGAAAGAAACTGGAAGTTATTTCAGTCCCATTTTTAAAAGAGCAGCTGGGAAGTTGCTGTTTGCAGTCCCTGAGTGGTTTCTGTGTCAGATGTGATCAGTTTACAGATGGAGGTGTTGCTGCAAGCCTGCCCTGCCTCCTACCAAATTGACACTGGAAGGAGCAGTTGCAAGCATCCAAAAAAAGGTTTTGAATAAATGACCTGATTTCTTTTAAGTACTTTTATAGATATAAATGCCTAATTCAGCCATAAACATTTCTGAGCTATCTGGTCCAGTGGGAGGTGTCCCTGCTCATGGCAGGGGGTTGGAACTGGATGGTCTTTAAGGTCCCTCCCAACCCAAATTATTCTATGATCCTATCTATGATCTGCTTTTCACAGGGCTGAAGGACTGGGCCAAATAATTTCTGATCATTTCTGCTTTGAATTTCACCTTTTCACTTTAGAAAAGTGGTAAGATGATTTCCCCTCTGTTTGATAGCACTTGTCAGAGCATATTTGTGAGAAGCAGCAGAAATTCACACGATCCTGGGATATCTCCTGGATATTTCAGTCTATCACTCTCTGGGAGCATTCCCAGTCCTTTCTGAGTCCTTTTTATCAGCCACCTAAACCCAAAGCTAAAGTTCCTCATGCTCTTGACCCTGTATGTCCTTTTTATAAGGCTGTTTCAACACCTCTCATCAGATGGCTGTAAAACAGTCTCACCAGGTCAGGCTTACTCCAGACCACATCCAGCCACTCTCTGCTCTGTCCCTTCACCACTCTTCTCTCCCTGGCTGGCACCTACTCCTACATTTCATCTCCCTGGGAGTCTAAAAAAAACCCAACCAACAGGTCAGTTCATTTTATGTACTCCAATCCCTTTGTCATGATGGAATTTAACAGCCATTTCTTGTTCAATTTTTCAGTCCAATCAGCTTTCTAACCACCCCCTTTCCTCCAGCCACCTACTTTCCAAGCTAGCCAGCTCTAACCTATTTAGAGTTTCCTCATGCAGAATCCATCCCTGAGCTCTCACCATCTTGCCTTTTTTTAAAGAAACTGGGACTTATTTTTCATTTTAAATATTTTAATAACAAGAAAATACACCAAGATCCAGGCACGTGGTCGATTCCTGTAGCAATATAACATCTCCTCATTTATTTTAAGCTTCTAATGCTTGCTTTGCCTGCTTGCTTGCCACAAAGCATTTCACAGAGGGGGGACACCAGCAGGAAGTTGAATTTTTTTCCATTCACTGGCATTTCAGACCCATGGACCTGCTGCACAGAGCAACTGCTCAGGAGCCTGTTGTAAATAGTCACAAAATAACTTCTGAACTAAGCACCAAGGGTTGTTGTAACCCACAGCAGGTAATAGCTGCATCCTGAAGGTCACACCACAGATGGATTGGGACTGGACAAGATAACAGTGGACCTTGAGAGGTCCAACAAGGAGCCACTCTACACCCGTGGAAGGAAGAGAGTGTGAAGCTCACAGCAAGTTTCCTGCATGGAGAACTGCCAAAGATCACCAGGGACCACCACAGACCACTAAGAACCCTCCAGAAGCTCCTAAGAGACTTAAGATGCACGTGGAATGACTGTGTAAATATGATTAGTCCTAGGAAATGAGATTAATATACATGATGATTCGAGGAAATATAATGCATATATATATAATAGAACAATATATGCTCTGGCTGCTACCATGCACAGCAGGCATCTTAGGTGGAGAGATGCCCCACGTCCCCAGCAATGAACTAAGCCATCCCTGCTCTTTGATCCCATCAAGGGGTTTCATCCCAGAATTTCGGTGACAAGTCCATCCCTAAAAAAGCTCCCAGCTTCCCGAAGGAAGCTCTAGAGGCATTTCAAGGCTCAAAATGATTGGGGAAGAAGGAGAAGGATGCGCTGCGAGGCGCACAAGCCCCCACCACCCCGAGGGCACGCCGCCCTTTCCTTTCCTTCACTCCATCCGAGCAAAGAGGAGCCACCAGAGCCCGGGAAAGCGGGGAAGGGAGGGGGCCGGGGCTGAGGGTGGCGAGCCCGAGCCCAGCAACGCCGACACCCGCCCGGGC